GGAGGGAGAGAAAGAGGGAGGGAGGGAGAGAAAGAGGGAGGGAGGGAGGAGAGAGGGAGAGGAGGGGAGAGGGAGGGAGAGTGGGGAGAAGGGGAGAGGGAAAGAGGAGGAGTGGGAGAATGGAATGGAAGGGGGAAGGAGAGAGAGAGAGAGAGAAAGAAAGAAACAGAGCGAGAGAAAGAGTGAGAGAGATGAAAAATTCCCCAAGTTCTAAAACTTATAACTTGGATCTAAATTATGAGGCTGGACATTTATTCTTCAGAATCAGCATCTATAAAACGAAGGTAAAACAAAGGAAATTCAGGTGTATCAACTAAAGGGAGTGGGGGGATGTCCAAGAATTCAACAGGCCAATGGTGAAAATGGGGCAAAGCTTCAGCATTCATATAGGCAGGTCTGAGATTTTCTAGATTTAGGTCAGAAAGTCTTTAATTTTGTTTTCAACTGTGCAAATCCCATTCTTCCATTTTCACTACAGGCTGAGTGCCATATTCCAGGAAAAATACCTAGTTTTTGCAAAAGCATCATCAAAACTGGGCTGTAACCTGAGTAGGGCAACCACAAGGTAGACCTAGAATTTTGGGGCAGTTGTTAAGCAAGTCACCATGTGACCAGACTGAATTTGATGACTGTTTCAACAATGGTTGCAAAGTGAGTCGCTCTGGTCATTAAGCAGTCCATGTGGTCATTAAGAGAAAACATAGCATATTCAATAGGCTGCCAGAAAACAGCAAAAAAGTTGCTAATTGCATGCTTGGCAGAATCAAAAGTCCTGTGAATGCAGGGGGCAGCACAACATTTACGATGATCAGAACTGCTTTCCAGACCAGGGATCTCCAACCTTGGGAACTTTAAGGCTTGTGGACTTCAACTCCCAGAATTCCTCAGCTAGTCCAACCCCCCACTCAAGCAGGAGATCCTACACTATTTCTGACAAATGGATGTCCAGTCTCTTCTTGAAAGTCTCAAGTGATTAAGCTCCCACAACTTCCAAAGGCAACTTCTGNGAAGATGAGGAGGAGAGGAGGAAGAAGAAGAAGAGGAGGAGGAAAAAAAGAAAAAAGAGGAGGAAGAAGAAAAAGGATAAGAAGATGAGGGGAGGAAGAAAAAGGAGGAGAGGAGGAAGACGAAGAGGAGGACGAGGAGGAGGAGGAGGAGGAGGAGGAGGAGGAAAAAGAAAGAGAAGATGAGGAGGAGGAGGAAGAAAAAGAAAAAGGAGGAGGAGGAGGAGACTTTTTGTTCTACCATCTAACCATAGTGCCTTTCCTTCCCAGACCACTTTCTCAGCTTTGTAACAGTAGGTCAGAGGACACCTGTTCTTCTCCACTTTTTCACCTGACTCTAGAAAAATCAGAGAACCCTCCTTTTCCAGATATTCATTTTTCCCAACAAAGGTCCCATAGAATCTCCCATGAGCAAAGAAGTAATGAGACACACAGGCAGTCATCTACTGAAAATTTTAATGAAACAAATAAGTTAATAAGTTAATAAAGTGAGGTAACTATGCATTGTCTCAGAAACAAAATTTATTAGGAAAACTACCCCGAGGCCCACCTTATTGTCTTTGGCTGGTCAAAGCCATCCCCTGCTCCCTTCCTCCCCCTCTTGCCCTTCACCATGCAGCCCCTCCTCTATTTCTGGAGATGATCATCCTGGATGAAGACTTGGGTGTGCTCTCCAAGGAGGGTTTGTTCAGTGCATTGAGAGGAAGAAGTCATAGTTTGATGGGGGAGAAGCTGGGAACCATTTCTTCAAGACACATGCATGGACATGCAAAGTGAAGATGCTGTTGGGCAAGTGGGGGGACTTTGGACATGCAGCCTAAAGGAGGTGTGGAATGAAAGCTGGGCGTGTTCAATGGGACAACTCAACCACAATGGTATTGGTGGAGTGAGCTCTGAGAAGATGGGGAAGTCTTCCAGATTTAATTCTGTTCTGTCCCGGCAAGTTAGCATTCTCCCACCAGATGCCCTCCTGATGTGTTCAATCACCATTCCCATAATGCCCAGCTAGCTGCCATGCGAGCTATAGCTCAATACAATTGGAAAGCCAGTATCTATGCAGCAATCATAAAAGTGAGAATGACAAATGAAGACATTCCATAGAAAAACAGGACTTCTGTTGGTTCTCTTGTTTCAAGTTAACAAGACAACCCACCAAGGAGCAGATTTTGGTAGCTAAGCAGAGATCCAAGCAAAAGGACTAGAAGGAAGGGGCTGTTTGGACTTAGAATTTGTTCTGGGATGGATCTGTGGTTCAAAGAAATCTGAGTGAATGATCATTGGGAAGAAAATTTTAACCACAATCTGTACCAGGAGCAAGAGAAGAGACTCAACAAAGAAGCCACAGACAATCCTGGCTGATGATCTAGTCGTACATTACATTGTATTCAACATAAACCTAAAACCTAAGAGTTTTTCGAATGCTGGTCTCCTAAACACTGCATATCCAAGATGATCTGCTTGTGTTGTTGCTCTTTCCCAAGGAAAGCACACTCAAGACCAAAGTCCACCATGATAGCTGCAGAAGTTAAAACTCATGCAGATGGGCAAGGAGGAAGGTGACATCTGAAGGGCATCATCAGAGAGGCAGATGGAATAATTGGAACAGTGGTGCTTTGTATCCTAAAACAGTGTTCCTCAACCTTAGCCACTTTAAGATGTCTGGACTTCAACTCTCAGAATTCATCTGGGGAATTCTGGGAGTTGAAGTCCAGACATCTTAAATTTGCTAAGATTTGAGGAACATTGTCATAGAAAGACTCCAAAGGGAGAATGCCTCAAGAAAAACCCTGGGTGGAAATCGTAATCCAAGGATCTTCTACTAGTAATAGGAAGGATGTGCTCACAGCTAGTAGGAAATTTGAGTCTAAAGCAGAGGTCTTCAAACTTGGCAACTTTAAGATTTGTGGACTTCAACTCCCAGAAGTTGACAAGTCTTAAAGTTGCCAAGTTTGGGGATCCCCAGTCTAAAGCAATGATCCCCCAACTTGTGGACCCCAGATATGTTAAATTTCAAATGCCCAAGCAGCCATATTAGAAACATCATCCAACCCAACTGGAGGACCTCAGCTTGGGGAGGGCTACTCAAAAGCTACACCATAGCACTGATAATTCTACAAGTGCATAGTACCTGAGCCAAGCTCTACCTTAATTCACTGCTGTTGAATGAATGGGAAACTCACACACACATATACACACACACCCAATTCCCTGGGAGACAGCAATACTCAACTCTCCCTCCAGAGACAGCAAGCTGATGAAATTCCCCCTGAGAACACCAGGACCCATTCTATTCTTGGCTACCTGAATTGGGTTTCCTTCAAGGGTGCACATAGAGACCCCCTCCCCCAAATCCCTGATTACTTCCTAGGCAGAGAAGGCACCTTAACCACTGCTAAAGACTGGTTTCAGGTTGCATATTCAAAATAGTTGCATATAGGGGTGCCCATCTCCCCCAAACATGTTTCCATTAAGTGGCAAGTTCCACTGTGTGCTCATGAACCGGGGGAGGGGGGGGGAGGAGGGCATAAAATGATGCCTGCTACCTGGTGGGACGGGGAGCTAAAAGAGAAGTAGAAAGGTGCTTCAAAGGCTGCCAAGAGTAGGGTTAGGCATTGCCAGTCATTAATTGCTTCTAAATGCAAAGACAAGAAACCACATTCAGTCAAGTTGCAATGTCCCTTGTCGAGCACGGCTGAAGGAAAGAGTAACCTAGCTTTTGCATAGCTGAAAAAAAAAGCATCGCCAACCTGGTTTGCCCAGTAAAAGTAAAAGTCTAGAATCGGTGGCTCTCATTTCATGGTTGTCACCATTTGCATGGTTTTCCTTGATGGGTTGGCCATCACAATGACTCGAGAGTCCAAAGTGGCCATTTCATCTTGACTGCTCTTTGTCAAAAGAGAATGGAATTCCTCGGTAGCCTGGAGGCACCTGAAAACTCTGGAGTTAACTGGGAACCATGGCAGATGTCTACAGGAGGCCGAGAGGCAGAAAGACAGATTCCTCTGCTCATTGCTTCAGGCTAACAAGGCTTGCTTCCCAAGAGAGAAAGCTGCTGACTTGAGTTTTACATTCTATCACAACCACTGTGGGAAACCCAGAAACACTGGAAAAGTTACGACTGACAGCTGACGGGTGCTGGGACCCACCCTGCTGTTTTGGAGATCTAACCATTTGTCTACATTTGCTCTAAATGCTCTGGTGCTAGTGGCTTTGCCCCCCATTGGAAGACTTCAAGTAAAGTTGAGGTGATCGTTCTGGTGCAAAGGCAGACGAATCTGATGAGGAAACACCAACAGGGTGAGACTGGAGAAGATTTCGGCTCAGTTGAGCACAGTCCATAAGAGTAGTCAGGAATTGTCTCCCAAGCCCTCCTTCGAAGGGAAGACTCGCTCCCAGCCTCTCCTCCCTGCATGTAGCTGGTGTGTGGCTGTTACACAGCTAGTCTGAAGAGGCCATCTTAGTCAATGTTGGTGCTAGCCGATCGGGAGATGTTCAAGGTCTGAGCAGAGACAGAGATGTCTTCATGGTCCACAGGACTATGATAGTCAGAGGTGATGTCCGGTTCACCACTGCGAACTGGTATAGCGGTCAAGCTAATGGAGTTGATTGAACCCTTCCGTAGGCACTGGGAGTAAACACCTAGCAACAAGTCCAGCTTGTGCTCGATAGACTCAACCTGGAGAGAGAGAGAGAGAGAGAGAGAGAGAGAGAGAGAGAGAGAGAGAGA